TACTCCTGGGCAGATTAATTTGCGGGGTCCCATGACTCCTGAACAATATAACCTAATGAAGTGGGAGAAGGATATTGAGGAGAGGAACAGACCTTTGACTGATGAAGAGCTTGATGCCATATTCCCATCAGAAGGTTATAAGATTTTGGATCCTCCAGCTTCATATGTGCCCATTAAAACCCCAGCAAGAAAGCTCCTTGCCACGCCCACTCCAATGGGTACTCCGCTTTATCAAATACCAGTGGAAGACAGGAATCAGCAGTTTGATGTAGGGAAGGAGCCTGCTAATGGGTTGCCATTTATGAAACCAGAGGATTATCAGCATTTTGGAGTCTTATTGAATGAAGAAAATGAGGAAGAGCTATCACCTGAGGAGCAAAAGGAAAGAAAGATTATGAAATTGTTACTTAAAGTGAAAAATGGTACCCCTCCCCAGAGAAAGACTGCATTACGGCAACTCACTAACAAGGCCAGAGAATTTGGTGCTGGCCCTCTATTCAACCAGATTTTGCCTTTGCTTATGCAGCCAACACTGGAGGACCAAGAACGCCACCTTCTGGTGAAAGTTATTGACAGGGTGCTTTACAAGCTTGATGAGTTGGTTCGACCTTTTGTGCACAAGATTCTTGTGGTTATTGAGCCACCCTTGATTGATGAAGACTACTATGCACGTGTTGAAGGGAGAGAGATTATTTCAAACTTGAGCAAAGCTGCTGGATTGGCTACTATGATTGCTGCCATGAGACCAGATATTGACAATATCGATGAGTATGTGAGGAATATGACTGCTAGGGCTTTTAGTGTTGTGGCTTCAGCCCTAGGTATTCCTGCTCTACTGCCATTCCTGAAGGCCGTGTGTCAAAGTAAGAAGTCATGGCAAGCCAGGCACACAGGTATTAAAATTGTTCAACAGATAGCCATTTTGATTGGTTGTGCTGTGCTGCCACACTTGAGATCTTTGGTGGAGATTATCGAACATGGTCTCGATGATGAGAATCAGAAGGTCAGAACAATTACCGCTCTATCTCTGGCAGCTCTTGCTGAGGCTTCAGCTCCATCTGGTATTGAGAGTTTTGACTCTGTGTTGAAACCTTTGTGGAAAGGTATCAGATCACACCGTGGAAAGGTCTTGGCTGCATTCCTGAAGGCCATTGGATTTATTATTCCACTGATGGATGCTCTATATGCTAGCTACTATACAAAAGAAGTCCTGTTTATTTTGATTCGAGAGTTTCAGTCACCAGATGAAGAAATGAAGAAGATTGTTCTGAAAGTGGTTAAACAATGTGTTAGCACCGAAGGTGTAGAGGCTGACTATATTAGAAGTGATATTCTTCCAGAGTTCTTTAAGCACTTCTGGGTTAGGAGAATGGCTTTGGACAGGAGAAACTACAAGCAACTTGTGGAGACTACTGTAGAGATAGCTAACAAGGTCGGTGTTGCTGACATAGTGGGTAGGATAGTGGAGGATCTAAAAGATGAGAGTGAACCTTATAGGCGTATGGTCATGGAGACTATAGAGAAAGTGGTGACCAACTTAGGGGCATCTGATATTAATGCTCGTTTGGAGGAGCTTCTGATTGACGGTATTCTCTATGCTTTCCAAGAGCAAACTAGTGATGATGCCAATGTGATGCTTAATGGTTTTGGTGCTGTGGTTAATGCTCTTGGCCAAAGGGTCAAACCTTATCTCCCTCAGATATGTGGTACAATTAAGTGGCGTTTGAATAACAAGAGTGCTAAAGTAAGGCAGCAGGCTGCTGATTTGATCTCCCGAATTGCTGTGGTTATGAAACAGTGTGGAGAGGAGCAGCTTATGGGTCACCTGGGTGGGTTTTGTATGAGTACCTTGGAGAGGAGTATCCTGAAGTTCTGGGTTCAATCCTGGGAGCACTCAAAGCCATTGTTAATGTCATTGGTATGACTAAGATGACTCCTCCAATTAAAGTTCTGCTCCCAAGATTAACTCCTATATTGAAAAACAGGCATGATAAAGTGCAGGAGAACTGCATTGATCTTGTGGGACGTATTGCAGACCGTGGAGCAGAATTAGTTCCTGCGAGAGAATGGATGAGGATATGCTTTGAGCTTCTGGAGATGCTCAAGGCTCACAAGAAAGGAATTCGAAGAGCCACTGTTAACACCTTTGGGTACATTGCCAAAGCTATCGGACCTCAAGATGTCTTGGCTACTCTTCTGAACAATCTTAAGGTTCAAGAGCGTCAGAACCGTGTCTGCACAACCGTGGCTATTGCAATTGTTGCAGAAACTTGTTCACCTTTTACTGTTTTGCCAGCACTCATGAATGAATATCGTGTTCCAGAGCTTAACGTGCAGAATGGTGTTCTGAAATCTCTCTCTTTCCTCTTCGAGTATATCGGTGAAATGGGGAAGGATTATATCTATGCTGTTACACCTCTCCTTGAAGATGCTCTTATGGACCGGGACCTGGTTCACAGGCAGACAGCAGCATCTGCTGTGAAACACATGGCCCTTGGTGTTGCAGTATTAGGCTGTGAAGATGCATTGGTGCACCTTATGAATTATGTGTGGCCTAATATCTTTGAAACCTCACCTCACGTCATCAACGCTGTTACAGAGGCTATTGAATGGATGAGAGTTGCTTTGGGTGCTGCTGCAGTGCTGAACTATTGTTTTCAGGGTCTGTTCCACCTAGCAAGGAAGGTCAGAGAAGTCTACTGGAAGATCTACAATTCTCTTTATATTGGAGCACAGGATGCTCTCGTTGCAGCTTACCCCACCCTGGAGGATGAAGGAGAGAACGTCTATAGTAGACCTGAGTTGCTGATGTTTGTGTAAAGTTAGATGATGCAGGTCAGATTTGTTATATAATGTCCTATGCTACATTGCTACTTGACCTATGTTAATGTAAACTGTTGCCCTGTTGATAATCTAAACTACTACTTATTTTTATCCCTACATAATTTTACTTCGTTTTTGTTTAGTCTTAATTGCTTTTTTCTTTTCTGTCGTTTCTAATTAGTTTGCTGTGATCACTACTCTGCATATTTCCCCTTCAAAGCACTAATTATCTGTCCTCCGGAAATGAACAAGTCATGTTATACTTCCTGCTTCCTCTATCTAGGATTAACATATTTAAATTAGTAAATGAACACTTAATACTGGTGGGGGCAGTATTGTATTCGGTTTCAAGTGGACATTCATGGCAGCCAAATAAGTGAGATCCACCTTGAGGAGTAGGGGGGCTGTGGGAGAACTGTGTTGCTCATCGACTTAAACATTAATCCTTACCTCTTAAAAAGTGGAAAACTTCCAACTATTTTGCTTAGGGATAGTGAACTCCGAGTTTCTCATTGAAGCGTTCTCTGAGCTTCATCCATTGAAGTTACTTCTTCGAAGGTAATTTTTTTTTCCTTCTCCATGGAGTATTAATCTGATAATCTAGGGTTTTGTTTCACAAAGTGTTTCATGTAGTTGTCAATATAATCAATTAAGGGTTCTTTGTGGATTATTGGACTATTTTTCTAATCACTCAAGTTATCTTATATCGAATAATTCTGTTGCTACCTTTTGGCTTTTGCTATGCAATTTACGTTGATTAAATGCAGAGATTTATGTGATTTTTTGCGTTGTATCTAACAATTGAGTCATATTATGAATTTTGGCCGGAAATATCCCAAATTTTACCCTAACTCTACTGTGAACTTGCAGTCCAAATTTTGAAACTTGGAGACTTGGGAAACCCCATCAGTTTCCCTTAAATGTTTCTTTCTCCTTGTCTTCGATTTTCAGCATTACAGAGTAGTTACAAGTACGAGTATAATTAGACCTTGGACTGTGCCATCCCGGTAATCAAACCTTAAATATATGTTTTTTAAATTTGTATTGCCAAATTATTCAATTAAACAGAGTTGGGTTTTAGGATTGCTAGAAAATTTTAACATCTATAATAGTCTCTTACTGTAGTACAATCTGAGGAGTACAATTTGTTCTTTCCTGCAGTCTCTTGCTTATTAGCATATTTCTATACAAGTGAGTATGAAGGAGTGGTAATCAATTATCTGAATATGAACTGCATATGAACGCTCCCTTAATTTTAAGATTTTTGCCAGCTTTCTGAACTCTTGAGTCTTTTTTTTATTTTTTTTGTTATAGATGGAGCCATAGGGTTTTGATCCTAGAGATACATTTCTTGTCTCATGTTTTGATTTTGACCATATTTGATTCCATTTGTTGGTTGATTAACTTTGGAAGTTCTCTTTCCATTTTGGTAGTACAGAAATTGTAAATGTGACATTTGACATTTGACATTGAGGCTACTCTTCATTTCTTGTGATGAACCGTTTTGACCTGACAATGAAATAGTTGATCATATAAGTTTTATCCAAGTACCATTTTTTACAGATCATATACCATTCTACCTCCTTTCTTCTGTCAAAGTCTTATTGTTGATTTATCCATCCCTCCATGATCTCTCTAATTTGTTATTTGTTAGATGTTTCATGTGATTTTATTTGAATGATATTAGATACCTCAGTAGTCCTAGACGTAAACTACTTTGTATTACAAACAACAATTCAGCAGGGTTTTCATGATTTCAGATTTAGGCTCTTAATTTCAAAAGTTATCTGTTATGCAATTTTCAGCTTATAGTCCTCTGTTCTTGTATATTTAGCCATGCTGAATAGATAGCGGGAAAGAAAATCTGCTTATCTTAAAATGCTGTTATTAGTTGGTTATATCTGATGGTAGCTTTTGAGATTATTGAAAACAGACCTGGTACCTTATCAGTTGGGTTTGATCTGCCAGGCTGCTAGCTAATCAATGAAGATTAGAGCCTGCTAGCTGATTTGTAATAACATTCGAATATATGAGCTGAATAATAAGTTTGCAGGAAAGACATGAAATATTCAAGAAAGCTTAAGTGATCAAGTCTTTACAGCTAAATCAAACTCGAGCTTTGAAACCACAAAGCCATCCATGTTTCTCTATATTTTATCCCTAAGAATTTTAATGAAAAATGAACATCAAATAATGAGAAGAAGGGAAAAAAGAAAAAAAAAAAAAAAAAAAAGCATTGGATTAAAAGTATAAAAAATACTGTATAATAATATCTCATCTCACAAGGGTGTTATTGTATTCATACAGCCAAATATTACAGGTAATCCTTGCTAAAACGTTGAACATAAGCAACAATACTAGAAACTGGGAAGCAAATTAACACAAGTATCAACTCAAAAAAATTTCCCTTTAACTTCTCCTATGCCTCTGTGATCTCTTAGCTCTTGTCTTTGACCTTCCTTTGCTTCCAAAAGTCTCAACAAACCAAACATGATGTCGATCAGTTACATAGATTTTCCCAATGACGTAGCCTATTATAAACCCACTTACACACCCCAATGATCTAATGATCCAATCAATCAACTTTGTGTCCTCTTCAATCATCTCATCATTTGTCAACTGTTGTGGTGGTGGTGGTGATGGCATGGAGTCTTTCTCGCACTTCTGAGACAACGGAGCTCCGCACAATGCCAAGTTCCCAGCAAAAGAGCTGTTGTCAAAAGTATTGAATTGTGCTCCTTGAGGTATTGGTCCAACAAGGCGATTGTGTGAGACATTGAAGATCCCAAGAAAGGTTAGCCTTGTCAACTCTCGAGGGATCACTCTTGAAAGCATGTTTTGAGAGAGGTCTAAAGACTCGAGGTTTGTAATGTTAGCTAGAGAAGATGGGATACCACCAACAAGATTGTTGTTGGATAAATTAAGAGCTTGCAGTCCTCCAAGATCCCCAACGACCTTAGGAATTCTACCAGTGAACTTATTGCTTGAAATATCAATTACTCGCACTACAGTCAATATCTTTGTGTAAAATGTTTCGCTTCCCTTATGTGTGATGGTGATAACATAGTTGTAAGCCTCGTCGTAAAATGCATAGCCACTGCCATTAAACCTAAAATTTAATCTAAAAACGGAGTTGGATGAGTTTGACAAGTTTTCATTTGAAATTGTCATTGCAACCAAACTATGAACATACCTAGATGTCAATTTACCAGTAAAAAAATTATAAGACATGTCAATTATACGCAACGAATTAAAATTATGACCCGGACTAGGCAATGAGGTTGTTATCCTCCCGTAGAAGTTGTTATACCTCAGGACAAGAACTTGCAACTTGGGAAGACTTCCTAACCATGATGGAAAAGTATCATTAATACGATTTCTTCCGACATCAAGTACCTCAAGCAACATACAATTGAGTAATGACTTTGGGAGCTTGCCTTCAAATTCATTTTGGCTTAAATTAATCATGTTTAATTTACATGATTTTGAGAACGTTTGAGGAATGGCACCACCAAATTTATTGGCTCGTATGTTCAAAACTTGCAAAGAACCACTAAGTTGACGACCAATGCAACTTGGAATTTCGCCTATAAGATTGTTTTGAGATAAGTCGAGGTAGACCAAAGAAGTTGCACGGCATATTTGATTGGGAATCACTCCATGGAATTCATTAGTTGAGACTTGATAAAGTTGTATCGAACTTGGAGGAATTGGAAGAGGCCCTCGCAACTTATTATCACTGAGATCTAAGGACACCAGATTATCCCATGGGATATAAACTACAGGATGTTCAAAACCTGTTAAAAGGTTTTTAGAAAGGTTTAATAACACAAGACTATCTCTAGTTGTGTCCACAAACCATTGCGAAATTTCACCTGTGATGTTGTTTCCCCATAGTGATAGTAACTTTAGCTCATCTTGATGATGTAGAAACTTTGGGAACTCGGTCAAGTTGCATGATTGAAGACCCAAAATGTCAAACTTCGAAAGAGACGAATTGGTGCTTACATCAGGAGAAAATGTTAGGCTAATACCGGACAACGCTAAACACGAAGATTTGTGAGTTTCATAAATGAATCAAACTTGGCTACCGAGTCCCTATATGACAATAATAATGCCTTAAGGTTAACAAGGTTAGAAATCGAGGGTGGGATTGGACCTTCTAGCTGATTACCATAAAGCTCTAAAGTTTCTAATTTGGTTAGATTCATAAGCCAACTTGGCAATGAGGCTGTTAGCAAGTTGTTGCTAAGATCTAAAGAAGTGAGTCTAGTAAAGTTAGATAGAACAAGTAGTATGTCATTGCCTAAATTCATGTTACTAAGGCGTAGTTGAGTGAGCGAGTTTAGCTTAGGCAACCAAGATTTCAATGTTTTAGCATTTCCAACATTTATCATGTTTGATAGACCTAAGAAAGTAAGGCGTGTTAGATTCATGATAGAACTATGGAGATCACCACTAAAATAATTGCGACCGAGGTTTAGAATAGTGGGGTTTGTCAAGTTACCTATTGAAGATGGGATTTTTCCAAAGAATTCACAATCTTGTAGGTCTAGTATAGTTAAAGAAACAAGATTTCCAAGCGAAGCTGGCAACTCTCCTGAAAATTTTGTTGCATCAATACTTATAATACGAAGAGGACTATTAGAATGAAATTCAGGAAGATATCCTCCTAATTTTGGATTGAAATTCAATGAAACTACTTCAAGATTTGGTAGTTGGAAAATATTTGCTGGGAATTCACCCAATAGATTGCAATAATTGAGGGAAATAGCTTTTAAGGAAGTTCGGGTGCTTAAGATAAGGGGTACCTCAGACGATATGTCAACCATGTCAAGATAAAGATGGGTTAAACGAGTTAAATTATTAACCAACTTCTCTAGACTCATATCAACAAGTTTTAGATTAAACTTTTGATCGATACTAAAGGAAAGATCAAGAAAAGAGAGGTGGGATAATTTTGAAATATCTGATGGAATTTGACACTGAAAACTGAGTCGAAGAGGTTAAGATGTGTGAGCTTGTATAGACGACCAATGTTAGTGGGGATTCGAGAGTAGTTGAAGTTATTATAAGAAAGATCAAGCTCACGGAGATGACTAAGGCTAAAGAGTGTGCTGTTACGAGGGAAGGACCCGTAAAGGCAGCTGCTACTGAGGTCGAGGCCAATCACATGACCCGTCTTCTCATTGCACTTGACACCATCCCACCTACAGCAATCACCACTTACAGTTGCATTTTCCAAATGACGATTGTTTGACTCATCATGCCATGACTTCACCTTTGGATATGCAACAGTGGAAGATGATGCAGAGCAATTAAGAAGAAAGCTTTGCTTGAAATGAAGCAAAGCAGACTTCTCGTGATCATGGCACAATGGTTTCGATTGCTGCAAGGAAGGGGGGTTAGAATTAGTAAGCACGAAGAAATCGATAACAAGTACTGCTAAAGGTAAGACTAACAGGGATATGTATGTAGTAGACAACCTGAAACACATGGTGATTGTTACAGTATGTTTGATTTTGTGAGTAAGATGAAACTTTTTTCTTGACATAGTAACAGGAGAGGAAGAGGGTGGCTTTTATAAATGTAAATGGTAACTTAGCTTGAATGCACAATCTATCTGTAGTTGGTATGATGTGTGTGAATGTAAGACTGTTTTTCTTCGCACCAAATTAATTACTCCCTGGTGCATTCTACATTTGTAAGAATACTACATTTATAGCTCTATATTATAGTATGGTTCAAAAACAATTTGTGAGTAGTTTCAACTCCCAACAACCAACATAATTGGTCGCACAAGTTCATCTCTAGTTTTGACTTCAAGTCCAACATTTCTGCTTGAATGAAGTTTGCTTACACATGCCTTACTTGGGCTGTTTCGTAGTGTACTCTCTTGTGATTTTCTGTTGTTTCCTTTGCTCTTTCTTTATATATGCACTTTGTTAAAAAAACAAACAAAAAAAAAATCTAGTTGCTGAAAAGTTTCGCCAATCATAAAATATGTAACACCCCAAATTATTAATGGAGTATTTTCCTTCTTTTTTTTAAAGCGCATTACTTTTCTACGGACATCATCTTTTAGTTTTTATTAGTATCATATTTCTCTCCTCCCATTCTCCATATTCCTACTTTTTAAAATTTCCCAACAAACCCCACTTACACAATATTTTACTCCATTCAACTCACCTCCCTAATAAGCTTCCCATGTATAGTTATGTAGCCAATAACCAATTGCACAGGTTCAACATCACAAACAAAGTATTTCTGCCAATACAAGGATGCCACAAGAAAATTTGTCCTAGCAAAGTCACTTGATGTTAATTTGGATTTTACAAGTACATAATTCAACTGTACACACAATTGTTAATTTGTTATGGTGTGATAATTTCCTAATTGGATGGTTATGATAACTATTCACATACAAATCGAATCTCTCAAATTAAATTTGCAAAGTTTGCATACAAGGAGAAGACCATCCTAGCATTCTGTTTTGCCTTGTGTCCAATAGCCCAATGTGAAGGGCTTGCAAAGGGTTGCAACTCATTCGGAACTTCATCCATCAATTACTTGACCCCCCTGGCCTTGATAGAGAGCAGGGAGAAAGAAAGTGCCCCTTCTGCTGCAGTAATGCCCACTGTAATCACTGGTTCTTTGACCATCCATAAGTGTCCTCTGTGCCGCTTTTCACTCTTTTTCTGCGCTCAGCAATCATTTCTGAATATGCCTGAAAGATAAAGAAAATAATGTTTTTCATTGTGTATTCGTATAATCATAAATATGATTCCTCTTCAAAGCTTGTCAAAACTTAAGTGTTTTCAATCCAATACAATGGCTTCTATAATTTTGGTTTACCTCACATAAGAGGTGTAAAAGAGAGGGTTGCTTAATTCATAAAATTGCATATCACATGGTTATTTGGGAATTCAGAAAACTTAAAGGTGTATGTAGTGAATTTTGAAGGAGCATAGTGGGCTATCTGGCCAATCTCGGTATACTAGGGTTGTGATTTGCAAGTCGTGCATATTATAGTTATAGGTTTGGAGTTTCTCATGTACAAGAAGCACTGAGTAGGAAAAGTTAATCGATCAATCAGCAGAGTACTAAACCAGTCTCTGTGCCTTAGTTGGAGTTTGACTATTTTATAGCTAAGAGGAAATGAAAAAAATGGAGCAGTTTGGGGTGTTCGGTTTACAGAATACAGATCCTTCAAACCCAGTAAAAATATGCTTCACTTTGTATGTCTATTGCAACTGTCAAAAAACTTGACAGCATACATCAACAAAGACTGAAAAGAGGACATTCAAAGTCTACAGGTGAGCATGTTCAGCTTTCATTGAACCAACACAGGACCAACTGTATATATTGAGTATTGACCATATGTAATATTGAAGTTGTAACAGAGAAGGAAGCTCAAACCTTAGGGTATGAATATAGGAAGATGTACCACCATGCAAAGATTGCAGAGGAAGCTAAAGCAGTAACAATAACGGAGTGCAGAACTAACCAGCTGCATGCAATCACCGATACTCCAGTCAGGGCTATTGTCCATGGCTGACACCTACCACATAATTGAAGAAAAAAAAAATCTGTCAACCATTATTGAACAATTCCGAAAATTAAAAAAATACAAAAAAACAGAAAGATAATACATTTGTGGTCACTGCTCAGTATCAAAGATGTAATTCTCAAATTACTAAGGTAACATATTATTTCTTTGTCAAACTTGAAAAGTTGTGCTGTATACTTGTAATTAGTCTGCATCTGAAAGACAATTAACATCAAAATGTATCCTCATATGGAGACTAGATGTTTTCTTGCAAACTCTTCAAATCACTGGTATGCTGCATGATTAGACCACATGTTTTCTAGCATACCCTTCAAATCACTTGTAAATTTCAACACACACAAAGTAATCACATCTCCCTTATGGATAACTGGGACAACTGAGGCTGAAGCATAGAGTATATTTGCAGTAATTCTAATAGCTGATCTCTTGTAATAAGTTTCCCTCAAAGGCTGAAAAAAGGAAACAAGAAATTCTCTTGCTATGGGTCATATTATAGTGATATGGAATCATGGAAAGATCACAATTGATGGTATAGGGCCCTTTGGGCTGACAAGCAAATCAAGAGACTGAAGATGGTAACAGGGAGTCCCGATCGATAAATCATACTTGGTATATCATAATAACCATCAAAGAGTTCTAAATCCTCCAGACCTAGACTAGACAAAAATGAGAATCAGGACCCCAATTTTTATTGATTCGGCAAAAGGTTCTCATTCAGGAGCTGTGAGTCTGTGAAGCAGGAGTAAAAAAAAGTAGCAATGTCTTCAATTGCCCACCATCCAATCTACCAACATACTACTGTAACCTTCCCCATCCAGAAGGCTCCTCAAGGTCATTAGAGTTTGGCCTTTGCTTGCCCAACTCGCTATTTAATACGAAGTAAATAGAAAGAATCAAAGGTATTTGGAAAATTGGAAAGATTCGTTAATTTATTGCAATTCTTTCTCCAATTTAGCATAATACACTTAAAACCAAAAGGAAAACAAGGAAAAGTGTGAAGCCAAAACCATTATCATCCTCAAATAACCCTATGGGCATACAAATCATACTTCGAATAAACCAAAAAGACTTCAAGCTACAAATTGGAAACCACTGGTCTACCACCCTATCTTCCTTTAAACAATTAATGAACTAACCATTCAACCGAGCTGCACAATACACATTTAAAGCCTTTTTACCCCTTCTTCATATCCAAGCTCAAATCTCATACTTGTACTAGATATACTGAACAAATCCTAAACTACTCCTGGTACGCCAGACAGGCATACTTGTGGGTTTCGACAGGCATCGATTTTCTGGTTTCTCCCCTCACAAACTGTATAGAAGAGCTGCTGTGATCACTATAATTTTATATTTCTTCCAACTAATTGGTCAACACTCAACAATGTATGAGAAGAGAGCCTCTTAAATGGCATTTCATATTTTCAGTACTAAACAGTGTATATAGTATACAAGTATATGGTACATTCTTGTATAATCAAATATGAATGCTAAAATATACAGTAACAAACAATTCCACAAGTTCATCAAACAAACAAGAAAAAGTGCTCAATGACAACAATTGACATTCACTTAATTAAGCTATTTAACACAAAGCAATGATTTTTTCAGCAAAACAATACTAATTTAATCAAAAAAAAAAAAAAAAAAAAACTAAAAATTGAGTAATTATAAACAAATCAAAGAAATTGCAGCTGTCAAAAATTTAATCAAAAATTAAAAAGGTGGGTTACAAATAGAAATAATACCAAGAGGGTTTGGTGTCCCAAACAGAATCATATTCGAGGGAGAGAGAATTGAGGTAACCTTCCATATCATTAACGACGCCATTTTCATCCTTGAACATACGATCAACCTCACCTGGGTCATTGGACTTGCTTCTCAATTTCCTAGTTTTACTGCGGAATTTAACAGATTGAAGAGCACCCAATGAGAATTTTGGGCATGAAATTTGATTATAAAGCTGGGATTTTGTTGAGGGCAAGTGAAGAAGATGAGTTTGTAAGGGATGAGAGAGAGAAATTAGTGGAAGAGCAGCCATTTTTAAGCTCTATATTCAAGATTATCTTTGGTCACTCGAATTCCCAATATACAAAGTGCCCACGCAGCCACGCGCCCACGCCTCTAAAATAATTACGGAGTATACTCTAGTCTATCCCCTTAAGATTGATCGGTATTACCGTTTTAACGTGTTCATTTATGTTGTTTTATTTACTTACGGAGTACAATTTTATAATTTGATAAATAAATTTTGTTTATCAAATTGATTATTTGGGACTTTCTCTTCTTCTATGTTTGTCTCATTCCATAGTTTTTCTCTTGATTTCTCTCTAGATTTTGAATATCAAGTTCATTTTCATTAGGCATAACATTTGGTGTATTTAGGCCTTTAGGGGTATTTGGTGTATTCAAAGTAATGTACACATATAAGCTTGTGTAGATACATTTTACTCTTAGGCCTCTTACTATATGCCCTTAATATAACATGTCCCTAGTACGTCTTATAATCCAAAACTAATCACCTTTGAATATCTTTAATGCTTGTAACTTTGTAAGTGTTATATATGTCATTTTTGTTAATGTTCTAGGTCGTATTACTGTAATTTTAGAATAAAGCTTTGTTTAGTATTGGTAATGCCTACCCAAAATTGTCTTTTTTTTAATGTTTCTATCATTTTTAGACTTTTACTAATATTATGTCATTACATTCATTATGTTTTCCTAAATTACAAAGGTACCCCAAAACTCAATGAATTAGTCTTGTTTATGTCCATCTCGACTTGATTAATGAAGGAGCCTCGGTTTCTCAATTGAGAAACGTGAGATGGTTAATCAATGACATGAATGTAAGTATAAGTACATTCATCGATATTTTATACATAGTACATTTTTTTTTATTATTAAATCAACACCGTTAACTTTTCGTCTTCCTCCTCTTCCCATCTACCTTCATCTTCGTCATTCTTTCCTCTTACATTTCAGCCAACTCCGTTGAAGGAGCGTGAGCTTTTGTCCACCTACATCTTCTTCATCCTCACCCATCATCCTATGACACCACCATTTCCCACACCTTTCGTCTCCACTAACATATCCACTACCATTTGTGGCGACTTCATAGCCAAATTAAGCCAAAACCCCTAAGAAAAAGGGAGAAATAAAGAGTACGGTCAACCCTAATGAATAAGGGTGTCATGTTCCTCTATTGAAGCAATCCTTGAGCTTCTAAAATCTCCATAGAACATGCTTTTTGAATCCTCAGTCATTATTCACAAAATTAACATCAACTTTTGTTATTATTGATATTACAAATTTACCCCCAATTACTATAAATGATAAAAAAATAATCCCTTTATAATCCCCGAACACCCTGTAGGGATGAACACCGGTCCAGACCCAGACCAATAATTGACCTAAATCTGCTGGTCTGGTTTCCGGTCCTGAGTATTTTATTAACGTCCGGGGTGAATGCCGATCTAGACTCGAATCGGACATGGGCCGGTTTACACGGATTGAAAATGAACCTGAACCTGCCGGTCCAACCAGTTCGATTCAGATCCGATTTCGGTCCAGGGTATTTTATGTACACCCCTAACACCCTGCACGGCTGCAATCATGTAGCCAATATGCAAGAAACTAAGAAAGAGAGTGTCATTTAAAAAAAAAAAAAAAAAAAAAAAAAAAAAAAAACCTTCTTTACTGGGCTACTAGACGATGGCGAATACTGGGCTCAAATAACAGGCCCAAAAACAAGTGTTTAGAAAACCCAAAAGCCCTAAAACCACATAAAAGAAAACCCTAGTTAGCTCTAACCTCTTCTTTTTCCTTCGCTCTCTCATCTTCGCCGTGTAACCTTGAAGTTGGAAATCAGCCGCAAGTTCCCTGCACCAGAGGAGAGAGAAACTAACCTAAAAATGGCGGAAAAGGCAGTCACACTCAGAACTCGCAAGTTCATGACTAATCGTCTTCTTTCTAGGAAGCAATTCGTCAGTTTTCATCCCTTCTTTTTAAAATTAGATTGTTGATTTTTGATTTCTTAAACCCTAATTTGTTTTTCGTTGCTCTTTTGTTACATTTTAGGTCATCGATGTTCTTCACCCTGGTCGTGCTAACGTTTCCAAGGTTTGATCTTCTATTCTCGATTCTTTATCGCAATTTATTTCATTTTATTGTTGTTTTTGATTAGTATTCAATCAGTGTTAGGAATTGGAATTATTTTATCACGAACATCAAATTTGCAACTTATACTTGGTTTAGTTGATTAGTATTTCATGAAATTTGCAACTTTAATATACTTAGATCAACTGAATAGTATTTCATTTCTTTTACTCCGAATGATTTTTTTTTGCTTGAACTGGATGTGCTTCATTGATTTTATTTTATTATTATTTTTAATTTTTTTTTTCTATTTTATTTTTAATATTGACATAGTTTATTGAACTTTGGTGCTTATTTCGTTCATATTGCATTGTGGAGATCAATATTAAGAATTGAAACACACTAGGTGAATTCCAATATTGTAAATTGCTGCATTACCAGAAATTTGAATTTATTGCGCTATACAAAACCTCTGAAATTTTTGATACAGCAGCTTGTTAATATATGCAAGCATAATGTTGCTAGTTTATTGTTGTGTTGTAATTTGTATCCTCGTACATGTCCGAATTATGCTTGCTAATTTACTTTTGGCATTAGGAATTTATCGATCTTAGTGAGTGTGAATACTTCAATAGTTCTATACCTACCTTTGTATTACAGGATTTCAATTTGCTGTCTTGCTTGTTGCACTTTCAGTGTGTTTCCCTCAATTTTTATGTTTTACATATGAGAAGAACATTGTTCATTATTAATTTACGTTGGTAGTATTGATATTAACTTTACTTTGCATTTGTGTATTCCGAAATTGCTGAGAAGATTGTATGAATTTGTTGTAGCTTTCACAACCTTTATTGTAATATGAATCTGTGTTGCCTTTTGCATCTTGTTACTGAGTGTCTTACCACGTTCTTTCCCTTTCTCATAGGCGGAGTTGAAGGAAAAGTTAGCTAGGATGTATGATGTGAATGACCCAAACTCCATCTTCGTCTTCAAGTTCCGTACTCATTTTGGAGGTGGTAAATCAACAGGATTTGGTTTGATTTATGATTCTGTCGATAGTGCAAAGAAGTACGAGCCCAAATACAGGCTGATCAGGGTAAATATGCTAATTCCATCACTCTTCTATTGTTCTCTTGTAATGTGGTATGAGCTATTGTGCTTTACTCTCATGCTGTGTATATTTTTCTGATTTCCCACTTTCCCATGCCTTTTGTTTGGTTCAGAATGGATTGGCCACCAAGGTCGAGAAGTCTAGGAAACAAATGAAGGAAAGAAAGAACAGAGCTAAGAAGATTCGTGGTGTTAAGAAGGTAGGACAATGCACTTGTATTATCGTCACTTTGACCTTTTTTTTCCCCATATGTTCTGTTGAGCTTTGGCTCTCTGGTTTACATAACCCTTTCATGCTATGGAGTCTATTCTTTTCAAAATTTAAAGGTGCAGAGTGCTGTACTCGTTTTTTGACCCATTTCATGTTTGTTTTGGCAGACTAAAGCTGCAGAAGCTGGAAAGAAGAAATAAGGAAATAGTTATATTGAGGATGGTGTATACACCGATGGTGCAGTTTTCTTTTTGGTGCAGCGTCCTTCGCAACTATCACCAATTTTTTCCTTATCAACTTGTTTTGTTACTTGTCTACTCCAATTAGCGATGATAGCTTTAGTGAAAGATTTTGAGACTTATAGCAGCATGTATGTTCTACTCTAAAGTATGTCAAGAGTTCTATGAACATTTTTGTTTCGTAATGGTGGAATCGTGATTAATTTTTCTTTGACTCTATTTTACGCTCTTTGATGCCTGTTATGTTCCGAGAGTTGGAGCTTTTGGTTGTGTTCTCTTTTATTGCGGTGCTACTTCATGAATTGTTTGTTCTAGTGTTGCAATGAAGTGAAAGGCTGAATGCTATAGTTCACAAAGAACTAAAAGAATTATTGTCTTCAGGAGGATACCGGTTGTCTGGTTGCACTTCATGTACTTATGGTGCACAAGTTTTTGACATTTTTTTTTACGGATTTTAGGAGCAGCAATTCATCTTCTGATTCCTGTGGCATCAGCTTTGTAAAACTTAATACAATCCCGGCCAAAATAATTTTGCAGGACTATTATTCTCGAACCATTTGTTGAGTGACTTAATATCAATCCCTGATGCTATTGAATGTATTTATGTATGCCGTTTTCAAATTTGGAGGCTCTCATAAACTCTTATTCCCATTTAAGTAGTTCAGAGATGGTTGAGTCTTTCCACTGTAAGATGCTTGAAGTTGGCATTGCTGTCACTTGTAAGGTTGTCTCCTGGACTTCATGATAGTTCTTACCTTATTTTTCTGGTTATAAGCAACTGTTATACCCCTGATTTTATTTTATCTGCCAATAAGTTTATCGTTTGGAATAATTATTTTTCACCCTTTGTGCTTGCTGTTGTCTTTGCTCTTCAATATCTTTGTTTTTGTAAATTTAGCATTGATACGACTCTAATGAGTGGTATTGTGGTGTCTAATGTTGTCATGGATTCTTCAAAGGTTAGGACACTGCATCCTGACTGGAGTAGTTGAATTTGATGGCGGAATATGAGCCTTTTTCTGATGGGAAAAGTCATGGCCGTCGGGTTACTATGAACTTTGATGAGGTAGCAAAAGTACCTCGTATTCTTCTGGTCTGACTAATGTCAGTATTGTTGAAAGTGACGATGATTAAATGGGGATAGCCGGATAGGGGTTACTAAATCTGTCAGAAGTTCCGAGGAAAAGGCTCTTAACCTGTTAACCATGACTTGAATATGGAGGGAGGTCTTGGAGAATGATGACAGTTTGCCTTCTAATTCCTTCAGTGTCTAGGCCCCATTTTCCAGACTCCTATAGATGGGCAAAAACCAATTGACCAGGCGGCAATGCAAAGAGATGGATAATTTTCTGGAACTGACTAAGCCAAAATGTAGATGCTGAAGCAGGGCCATCAAGTTTTCAGGCGGTTGGTCAAGCTGTGGAAATTGAACTCCCTGATGTTGAGACAAAT